CCTCGAACCTACTAGCGATGGCCTCCAACCTACTAGCGATGGCCTCGGACCTACTAGCGATGGCGAACCTACCAGCGATGGCCTCAAACCTACTAGCAATGGCCTCCAATTTGCGCGCACGTCCCAAAAAGATGTCTATAGATTTCTATAGGTTATGTTTTGTTTTCAAGCTTTTGAGATTCTGACCATTATATAATGATAGGACATGACGATTGCCCGCTTGAAGATCAAGGAAGGGTCCATACAGAGGTGGTACGATTCTGCATCGCAATGAGTGCCACAAGTGAGAATTGAGCGGCCAGCATAGGATGTACTCATGTTTGGCCTTTTGGTCTGTCGACGTCTGTCGACATGTCAGGCGAGGGGAAGTCTCTGAACATGAGTAGAGCATCCTATCTCTGATCTAGAATCTAGATTTGACATACCCATGGAGGTATCCTCTATGAAATGAGGTTCCATACCCCCCCCTAAACCTCGTCCATAGGGATGATTTGACCAACATATCCGTAAGTTAACTGCGTACCTTTGGGCCACCAAAAAATCGTTGTTCATACTGCAGTATCAACGCAACACCTCCTCCACCCCGCCTTTTTTGCCCTCGTGAAACCAGGGCCTGAACATGAAACCCTTGTGGAAATTCTTCCCCTATCCTGAAAATGGCCCTCCCAGATGTGAACGTTCCTTGGCCAAAAAAGCTTCGCACATCTCTCCCACCTTTGACTGGTCCCGGTGAAGAGTTCGTCAGCGGCCCCGAAGTTCCCACTCACTGGACCCTTCCTCGGACTGCTGCACCGGCGACCGCTCCCCCCAGGTACCCAGTACCAGGCGTGGAAACGACGCTCGGCATCTCTTTCCTCGCCCTGGCGGTGTCGGTGAACCCGACCGGTGGCGGCTGGCTATCAGAGACCGTCCGAGGACGTCAGTTAGTCTAGGTTTTGGAACCATCATGGCCAGCAGTTCAGTTGGAAGCTGAAGATGGGACACGTCGGGGTGCGGTCACATGCACTGGATGGGTCGAAAGACCACCCCCGGCCTAGTTCACCAGCATCCAGTGCATCTGAGTGCTTCACGTCTCATCTGAGTTGACGCACTGCATGGTTCCATGATGTTCCATGCATTTGCCTAACCGTTCTTTTTCTGCATGGTTCACCCTTCAGGACCTGGCCATTCGTCTCATTTCACCCGGACCCTCCCTAGAAACCCTTCAGAATCTCTTTGCCAGCACCGTTTCTCGGGGACACCGAGCGTTCAGTCCTGAGCCCCCGGCCGCCTTCCGCGCCACTGCCGCGCCCGGCCGCGCCGACTTCACGTTCGAGGCCACGACGCGGCGGTGGCCAGCGTGGCGCAGCTCTTCCAAAGATTGGAGGAGCTTTCCCGATCCATGCAGGACGCGGTGTGGTTGAATCATCCTCTCGTGCGTGACGCGGACGTGTTGGGGTGGGGTAAACTTGCTCAATTTTCTAGAAAGGAGGAGGGTGGATGATGTGGGGACATGGAAGCAAGTGACTATGGCTGGTATATTTATTATTGAAGTATGTACTGTATAGCTATATATATGCCTGTGCCTGCATTGACCTCCGAAAACCACCCCAATGTACATATGCCATAATATGCGGAGTGTTTGAGAAGTGGATGGTGGATCTTTGATGAGCAGCTCATGCTTCCCATCGCATCCCAGGGTTCTAGTGTCATAACGAGGGTTGTTCGTTCTTGTATCAGAGGGAGAGGGAGCCCCTTTCTATTTGCACCGGAGTGTGCCAAGATCGCTTCCGCAGATCAATTGCTGACTTGAGTACTTCTTCCATCGCGAGCTGGGAACTTATCCAATAAATTCCAACCCCCAAGATCACTGAGAGGTGGTTATTAAAGATGAAAGACAATATAGCGACTAGGATGGTACTAGATCCCTCCATTTGCCTCATGTTCTTGGAACAAACACTTAAAAAGACAATTAAACAAACAGACTGCAATATACTGTATAATATATATATATACATCTATATATATATATATATACATATAATGCCTGCCAGCATGCCTTGGCAATCCATCATCCATCATCTAGCTGCTGTATTCTGAGCATTTTCATCCACCTCCCCACCGCGGATGGCGGCGCCAAATTCCACCCGGTACCCAACGGGCCAACATGTTCCACTGGAACATAGCTCCGAAAGGATTGGGTGAACTCCACTTCCCATGACTCAAGAAGGAAACCACGTGCATTCCACCATCCCTTGAAGCCTTGTGCCTCCTTCCACCTCTCTCGCCCTCACAAGGATGACCAGGTGTGCAGCGAAAGCGAGCTCTTGGAGTTGCGCCAGGAGCGGAATGCCTTGAAGGACCGAACTGTACTGCGGCTCGCGCCGGCTCTGTCGGAGGCGAACGGGCAAAGCAAAAAAAACAGGAGTCGCATGGAACCGGTGTTGAGTCCCCTTTGGAGTGGAGTGGAATTCTTTACCGGGCACCCCTGACCTCCATGAAGCAGCTCTTTGGAACTACTGCAATATATTTTGAATGTGTGTTTCTTTTTTGGGGGTTTGTCTGGTCAGTGGGGTGGGGTCGAAGTGGGCAATGAGCAAGCTCCCGTACAGAAACCATATGAAACAGACCAGCAGTTCTACCATGTTCCTAGCAACCTGTTGCCCCCCCCCCAGGCAGCAAGGGAACAGCCGCGAGTAACCAGGCTAGGCTCCATGGCTGCAGGATCGCTTAGAAGACGCTGTCAGCAGCCTCCGGCAGCTCTCAGCTCGTGCGGCCCTTCTGCAGCCGGCCGCCGCGGACGCGGGTCCTGCGGGTCCCGCGGAGCCCACGGCGGGCGCGGGCGCCGCCGAGCCGTCGGAGTTGCAGCGTCGGGTGTGGCAGGCGGAAGGTGCCTGCAGCAGAAGGTGTGGAGAGACTGGAGAGGGTTGAGAACTGATGGGTGAGAACTGAGGCCACTGGTTTTGTGGCCAGGAACTTGAGGTACTTGTTGGGTCGCGAAAGTGAGGGCACTTCTTCGCATCCACTTCGAACAGCCGTCGGATATGTATAATAACTATAATGATATATAAATATATAGCCGATGGCCTACGTAGTTGCATCTAGGGTGGTAGTTTTGCGTTTCATCCAGTCAGTCTGTTCATACGGACGCTCAGCGCCGCAGCCAACTCAAGTTATACAAATGACTATATTGATGACACATGCAAGAAATTGAAATGCAAGATCTTATAATACAAATAACACGGACGGCTCAGACGTTTTTCACTGTTGATTGGTTCAAAAGGCATTTTTGGGGGAGACAGCGATTTTTGTTGGGCGAGTGCTTGTTCGAAAGGCATGAACCACCAGGGGGGAGGTTTTGGATCGCAATCAGAGTTTTTCAGCCATTTGGAAGCTGTGGTTGATCCTGTTGAGATGAATCATGGGCAAGGGGATCACAGCTAAGTGGCCTATAGAGGAGTTGAGATCACTTTTCTTTGTTTCTTTTTTTTGGGGGGGGCGGTCAACTCTCAGACCACCGTTGGTGGCCGTGATGAGCAGGGGGGGGTCCCAAAGACCTGGGGCTGTGCACAAACCACCTTGGTCCAACCAGGGCTATCCAGGGCTCCCAAGGTCCCAGGGGGAGGATGCTTCGAACACGGCGATCTTAGAGGTCGAAGCCACGTCGGACCCACCTACTGGTCCACCTGTTCCACGTTCTTCCATGTTTTTGTTTGGGATCAATCGACTGAACATTCAGCTGGGGCTCTTTGTTTGGAACGGGGGGGCTCTGCAGATAGATGGATAGATAGATCAATAGATATATTGATCGATAGAGAGAGAGAGAGATTGAAGCAGAGATGGAGGTGAATCTATTCCATGGAGTCCTTTTCTTGGAGGACGGTCGGCCACCCCAAAAGGGTGGGACGGTCGAACACCGGGTGTGGGACGGTCGGTGTCCGCCCGGGAACTGCTGAAGGTGAACTCCAAGAGTTGATCCTGGGCCACGAAGAAACGATCGTGCCCAGGGCCCGTGACCGGGGGGATACCGGGATACCTATCAAAAAGAACATTGATTCCTATCAGATAGAAATTATTGCTATCAGAAAAACATAAATTCGTATCAAAAAGAACATTCCCTCTACTCCTTTGGTCCTGGTCTGCTGGTTCCCTGGTCGCTTGGTCCTTTGGTCCCCTGGTCCCTTGGTCCTTTGGTCCCTTGATCCTCTGGTCCCTTGGTCCTCTGGTCCTTTGGTCCTTCGTCCTGGTCTTCCGGTCCTTGGGTCTGTACTTTCGAGGCAAGACGTGTTCAAGGTGATTTGAAAATCTGGTCATACATCCTGTGAAGCACTGTAGCAGACCTCTTATCACCAGACGTAGCAGACCTTTTTTGTGAGCCACCTGAGGGCAAAATTTAGAAGAGGAAGGCGCCATTCCAACGTAGCAGGCCTTTGTTTTGTGAGCAATCCGAGGGTAGAATTTGCTATTCCAACGTAGCAGACCTTGTGTGAGCCACCCGGGGATAAACTTTAGGTGCCACGCCAAGGTAGCAGACCTTTTGTGAACAACATTGAGAGGAGCAGTAGACCTTTTGTGAGCTGTGCGAGGGCAAACTTTACAGGAACAGACCTGCTGCCAGCATAAACTGTAGAGGAGGAAGGTGCCATTTCAACATAGCAGACCTTTGTGAGCCATCCACAGGTCTTGTGGTTTCGAGATTCCGAGATGTTTTGAGATCCATCAACAGAAACCTAGAGGTCTGAAATTCAGAGATCACGGTTGAGATGCAGAGAGATCTACATCTACAAGGATCCAAAGGCCTGGAGATCCAGACGGATCTACCCACAGATCTAAAGATGGAGGTTTAGATGTCTTGAGTCTTGAGATCCAGGCAGGTCTTGAAATCTAAGTTCTAGGGGTCTAGACCTCCAGAGGGTGCCACGAAGTCTGTGCTTATAGACTGCAGAGGTTCACCCAGCGCCGCGCTTGCCACGCAATCTGCACTTCGAGGTTCACCCATCGCTGCGCCTGCCACGCAATCTGCACTTCGAGGTTCACAAAGTGTTCCGCCTGCCATGAAATTTGCAGTTCCGGTGCGCAAGGTGCTGCGTCTGCCACGAGCCCTGAAGGTGCTCAAAGTGCTGTGCCGCCACGAGATCTGCAGTTCCAGTGCGCAAAGTGCCGCTCCTGCCACGAAACCTGCTACTGGAGGTGCTCAAAGTGCTGTGCCTGTCACGAAATCTGCACGTCCAGTGCGCAAAAGGCCGCTCCTGCCACGAAATCTGCTACTGGAGCCTGCCACGAAATCTGCACATCCAGATTCACATCGCGCAGCGCTTCCAAGGCGGTTCGCAGTGGCATGCGCCGCTCTTTGTGCAAGGATATTTTGTTTTGATGCCAACGAACTTTCTGTTTGATAGGATATGGATTTTTTAATTAATATTCATTTTCTTTCTGATAGCCCGGCCAGGGTGGGGCCCCGCTGGCCGGAGGGTCACCACGGGTACGACTTGAACGGATTTAGAAGAGCTGTTGGTGCAAGAGGTTCAGAATGTTCTTGAAAAGGTGTTGGGGCCCACAATGATTTCAGACTAAATAGTTAGGATATGAGGCGAGGGTCCCTTTCGGATGGCTGCGTGGTTGCCAGACTCTGCCAAGAGAGAAAGAGGGAGTAACCAGGCTTGGCCAGGAAAGATTGACACTGGGGTTCCAGATTGGATAAGCAAGCAAGAATCCGCGGCTCAATGGATATCATCGCGATTCTGCGTTGTTTCATAACTTGGCCTCCCATGTCTTCACGGCACCCGACTGAGGCCTTGAGGAGGACCCCTCGACACAACCAACCCACAAATGTAAATGGGTTGCATTGAGGAGACCGCTTGACATAGCCGACATAGCCTTCATCCAAGGGTTGACGATAGCACTGGGGCTTTCAAGAGGGTCCGATAAGGGAGATTAAGTAGATGTTGAAGCACTTGGTGCGGGTTCACGGCAAGCATATCATTCATCCAAGCATCTCCACGAAAAGAAAAACTCAACATGAAGTTCCACTCATGTTTTCACTCATGAAGTTCCACTTGCCCATTGTTTGTTGAGGGCTGCCACTTGCCAGAGACCCCCATGGCCCACTCCCCCCCCCAGGAAACGCATGGAAAACCTCCGGCTCCAGCGGATCCAGACGCTGGAGCTTCATCAGGCCGGACGGATCGGCGTTCGGCCATGAGGGCGGCAGAGTCTTCAGACCTGATAGAGGAGTCCTTATCATTTTTTTTGAAGCTGGGGGGTTGGTTTTGAGTCGATGCTCCTGTTCCGAACACTGTTCTTGGACATTTGGATTCCAGGGCATGACAAGTGGACGAGGGGAGGGATTCCCTTGGCGCATGGATGAGTTGATGGATGGTAAGATGCATGGTGCATGTGGATGTTTTCCTGCTGTCGCGGACAGTAACTGGGAACATAAATGCTCAGTGTGGTCTTGCGTTGAGCCGTTGAATATGTTCGATCATGTTCAATTGGCGTTTTGTTCTTCATGTTCTTAACACATAGAAGATGTTTTCATGCACAAGGCAACGCTGAGGATTCCCAAATTGAAGTCTTGGAGGATCACCATAAGACATGGCCGAAGGTCGAGTTTCTTTTTATAAACAGCGTTTGGCAATGGAATAGCATGGAATACCCCCGTACAGTATGCGTGGATTTTTGTTGGGCACCCTTTGCGAATGTCCAGGTGGTCAGTCATTGGTTATCATGGTTATCATGAGAGCCTACTTTGTCCGGGTTGAGGTTGGGCCCATGGGCGACCGAACGTTTTCTTCATGTGCCCATTCCGACACGGACACTGGGTCACACATGTTTGGTTTGTACCCACCAGGGTGTGTTTATGAAACAACATGGGTGAAGTTGAAGCCGGATTGATTCATGTTGACCAACAACCCCATGTGTCGCTTTTCATGCACTGACACCCACACCCCAGAAACACCAACCTGTGCATGCGCGAGCCCAATGGGTGGACCATGGTCGACTGGTCGATGTCAACCGTCACCAGCGGGTCAAGATGGGGTCGGTCGCCTGGGTTTGAGCACCCCCACATCCCTCCACATCGCCAGGAAAGTCTTGTGGAGCAGACCACATGGGCCACCGCCACGTCCTCGGTGTCCGGCGAGGATGCGAGGAGGACGCTGCAGAGCCTGGAGCAGAGCGTGGCAGAGCTCCAGGCCCAAAGTGACCGGGGAAGGGGTCGGCATTGGCCCAAATCGAAACGATTTGGATGTGTTTCCCCTGCTGCTGAGAGCTTGGCCATTCTTTTTTAACCCTTTTAGAGGAATGGAGAAAGCGCGAAGACACCTCCCTGAGAGACCTTGCCCTTGGCAGGGCCAGGCCAGAAGCACCGGCTCGTCGTGATTTGAGTGCTTTCGATCCGAGATCACGGCGCCGTGGTAGGCGAGTGTGGTGGCCAAGAAGGATCTTTTGGAGGAGACGCGCGAGCGGAGCCAAAAGGGTCAGCGCTACATCCAAGCTTTGCAGCAGCAGCAGTTGCAGCTGATCTCCCAGGCTGGACTGCAGCGGGTGGCTTAAGGGGCAAGCTAGGGAGCTACGGGGATCCACTACACGTCTTTAGTTCCCTAAACTAGTCGTGGCCACACTAGGGGCTCATACAGTGTGCGGCCACTTTTTGTCTTTTATATATAAACATGTTTTAAAGGAAGCCAAGGAGCTGCGTGTTTTTTCCTTAATTAACGTCCTTCTACTCACTTGCTATATAGCAGTCTCATGGCGCCATTCGCGCCTCATGGCGCCATGGTGTGTTCACATGAGGCGGACGAGCGGGTGCTGCGGAACCCTCGGCCGCCGCGCTCTGCAACGGCCGTGTGATGCGCGAGACAAAATGCAGGGGCGAAGAGAGGCTGATGCGTTCTCAGGGTACACTCAGTGGGTACGCATCAGAGAAGTCGAGGGGAGATGATGGGAGCAAATCTGAGCATCAACAAAAAAACACATATATTTGTGCAACATCACTACACAACCCACAAGCATCAGTAACATGTTGTTTCATCACACCAGGCACCATCTCATCCTCAAAGACGTTCATCGGCTCCCCATGCCCCGCCTGGGGGCCGAGGCGCTTCTACGAGACGCGCCGCGGCTTCCGGCAGATGGCCGATCGTTTGGCCCTTCCCGAGGCGCACCTGGAGCCAGAGAGGTTGGGTGAGGTTGGGTGAGGAAGGATGGAACATGGGAAGGCCAGAATTCTGAGTTGCCTGAGTTGCTGTTCAAAGAATGCTATAACAATCTATAACATGCAGCTGAGGTTGAGAATGGATTGTATGATGTTGAGGGAATGGTTATCCGCATAGCGAGATCGACCAGTCCACAGTAGCGCTTGTGTGATGGTCAGTCATGTAGCCTAAATGTTCCGAAGCCTTCACTTCTGCAGCATGTCACTATATGTGACTCCTTTTGAATGCACTTCAACATGTATTGAAACCGCTTGACTGCTACAGCTTCTGGAGGTTTTGTCAAGCTTGAACCGTGCCAGCAAATCCACCCAGAGGCCCGGTTCAAGCGCTTCGTCGCTCCACCCGATGCGCTGGGTAACCGCATGTTCAAACGACCACCCCAGCAGACAAGCCATGGGCAGCAAATCTGTTGGACGGGAGGTTTTTTTCCCCAGGATTTCCCTGAGAGTGCGTCATTGGCCAAATGCAGAGATGGGCAGAGACAGTCATTCGCCCACTCAACAAGTAGTTGCAATTGAGGTGCTGGGTCATTCTGTAAAGATTTCGCAGCAGCTTTGATTCAGCGTCCCCGCAAATTTACGAGATTGCACACCTCACCACTGAAACGAGATTAAGCTTTACTCCAAGAAAAGCGGCCGCTTTTGTTATTTTGGCGCCCCGTGGCTCATTCCCATGGCGCGACCCAACAGCGGCGTGGGGACACAGCGGTCCCGCTGGCCGCTGCTGGCGGCGATCCTGGTGCTGTGTGCAGTGCTGTGGCAGAGGCCCCGTGCGGCGGATGAGCGGCGGTGAGCGGGGTGAAAGTCGCCGGTCTGGCGAAGGTAGATGAGGACCAGTAGCTCGGTGCATCCATCAAGCAGTTCGGTGCATCCATCAAGTGCACCTACTGCGAGTAGATCGGATCAGCCTACACCATGATGGCCATGATGACCTCATGCAACGCCATCGACCGATCGGTGGGTCAGATGTTGGGAGGTGGGAGGGGGTTCCGGAGGGGGTTTTGTGATCGGATTCCTTTCTGGCCATTCCTGCCAGATGTTCAACCAATGCGGAGGGCAGTGGCTGACCAAGAGAGCCAGCAATTCCATGGAATCGGGGTGGTTTGGGTGGTTTTGAGCCCCATCCAGCTGAGAGGAGGTGACCTGCCATGGAACTGCTGGATGCGATGTCCCCTTGCTTCATTGGAGGATGGATACGTTCACTTGATGTTGGCCCCCGTGGTGTTTGGTGTTACTTTGATTGCTGATTGCTTGCAGGGCTTTAGGCCTTGCCTGGGCGTTTCTGTCCTCTAGCCGTGGCTTGGGCCGCCGCACCAGACGCTGGGCGTGAGAAGGAAGAGTGTTGTTCAAGAGCTTTGAGCAGCTGGAGTTCACAAGATTGGGAGCCGTCTCTAATCGTACTGTTCCAGTGGTTCCAGCTTGAATTTTGCACTTGCGGATCCAATCCATAATATAATATAATTCCAATGATGGAGGCCACCAAATCTGTGATGAACCGGATCCGAAGATAGTCGTCCACTGTTGACATTTTCGGGCATCTCACTCTCTCAGCTTATATAAATTTAAAAATAAACTCAAATAACAAATAATATACTGTATATATGGTATACATATTGAATTATATGTATTATTTACCTCGTATGAATATATACCAGGGCCTGGGCCCGTTAAGGGGTGTCTCATTATAGCTCCTTGGAGGTTAAGGGGTATCCATTAACCACTCCTTGGGGGGGCCCTGGTATAGAACTGTAATATTCATATTGTGTAACTATTGCGGCGTTGTCAGCTATTGTCGCAGGGTGCCTAGCCCTGCGCTGTGCATCGCCCCAAAAAACGAGCTGTTTCTGGTACGGAAGATGTCAAAACCTGGATTCCCAAACATCCCAAAACCACGTCCCTTGTAGTTTGTTCATTTGATGGTCCTTTGTCAAATTAACTATGACACTCCCACTCCCACATCAATCATCATGGCACCTGTATGGTGGTATTGTCATCGTTTCGGTTCCATGCGGTCCACTTCCATGTTGAAGGAGTGAGCAGTGTATATGGCAGGGAATGCGAACGACCCAGCGGCCGTGGATGTGCCTGTCTTCCCAGGCCAATGCTCGCCACTGCGATGCCAGGCCGGCATGGCATTGTGACCGCCTTGAACCTCGTTGCACCAGCGCCGAGGTTTTCGGTTTCAATGGTGTCCTTTCAATGTGAGACGGTCGAGCCACGAAGGAGCCACCATTTCGGTGCAAGAGCCGAAGGAGCGTCGACAGCTTGGGGCTGCGACTAGGAGTTCTTTCTTGGAAGGTGTGTGGACTGTGTGGACTGCGGATGAATCAAGCATCCAGGAGCTTCTCAAGTATTTTCCAACCATGAGGTGCTCACATGAATTCCTGTAAATGGTGATTCCTTCTGAGTCTTTTTCGATTTGCCAAATCCTGGTCTAAATCCCCATCAGCTTTTTGAACACCATTCACTTGGGACGGTCTCAGGGATCGATTTGAGGCATCACACCTCATGCGTCGCTGTGGACGCCCGTCGCTGAGTCAGATCACAGGCGGAGCGCCCCTCGAAGCCCAGCATGGACTATCCACCTCCGGCGGCGTCCTTTGGAAGATGAAGGAGCGGACTGGGTGGCCGGGCGGCGCAGACGCCCGTCGGAAGTACCAGCTGAGCGAAGTTCGCCAGGTTTGGACCGCAGGAATTCGGATCAACTTGCGGAGTCCTGGCAGATCTCGAAATGAACCTACATGAAGCGACCTTCCAAGAGGTGTCCAAAAGAAGTCGTAGATGAAATGGTGTAGATGGCGTAGGGGTCCCTGGTATAGAGACACAAGACCGCGCTGTTGGTTCACAAGGGGCCACACAGGCCACTGGGGCTCAGATTCCCTTGAAAACTGGAATCAGATAGCCCCTCAGCAAAGTTTCAGATCACCTGTTAGTTTCTATGACGATGGACTTACTAAGTCAAGAGGGCTACGCAGTAAAGACCATAAGACCACTGCTAGGTTCAGGGAATGCTGATTGGTACCATGGCCATATGAGCACACTATGGGGGGCTTGACTGTCAGCCGTCCACATGATCAATCAGAATATAGGATGCACCTTTTACTTGAAGTTCCCACTTGAAAATTCGATGAAATTCCTACACAAATATAGTGATAGCCTGTGCCTTGGGAAGGGGGCAAAGACATGCTAAGACATCCATTTCCCGCAAAAGCTCCGCAGCTCCACCGAGTGTTTGCTTCCGCTGGCCCTTTCAAACTCCCAAAGCCCCGACCAAAGGCTATGCTGGAGCCCATCCCCTTCAGTATCCTTGCCGCGCCCTCACCGAGGTCCATCGCTTGGCCGCGCTACCTCTCCTGGTTGGGCTTCACGGTGGGCGCGCTGCAAGGCCTGCGCCGGAAGCTCTTCGGCGGCGCTCAGGCCCGGCCGCACAGACCGTTCGTGGTCCCAGAGATGCGGTTTGGAAGGGGGACAACCTGCAGGAAACCTCATATAGTTAGAGTTCTGGCCATGGTTGTCCTGTTGTCTTAAAAGCAATCCACATGCATCAAGGAGACGGAAAGGCTGGGGGTGGGGTTCCAGGACTTTGGGAAGGAAGTCCGACCAAGTCTTAGGCCGATTCGCAGTGGCAAAGTTCCACACAGGTATCCGGACCTCTGGTTCTGCTACAATGCCTATTTGGTTGTCAAAGACCTCATTCTTTTCCCGGAGTATCTCATTTTCAGGACCAGGAGACTGGACCTGGGTCAGACTGCACCTGGTGGCTGCCTGGGTGAAAACCACCAACGACCTCGGGTCCCAGCCTTCCTGCGTCGGCTGGCTGGGTAGAGAGGTGAAACGACACGCACCTTCGGTGGCCGTGGTCCCCAGCTCCTTATACAACTCCAGTAGGCCATGTGATGTGTCCCGTGGTGGGTGTGCAATAATTGACATCCCCTCCGGCCCTCCGGTTACGAGATGTTTGTTTTTTATTTGCGTTTGCATGTTTTGCTGGGAGTGACTGGAGTGGTCAGGCTGAAGGAGAAGCCAGCTTCTTCAGTACGTGACCTTGTTGGAGTCCCATCCAGTGACCTTTTGCAGGTCCAAGATGGTCTAAGTGGCCTCCAACCCGGGGATGAAAAGGATTGAAAAGGTCATGTTGAAGAACCAGGAGAACATGGTTTTGTAGTGTGATAGGCTGGAGGGATCTGGAGGGTTCATTGTATTCGAATTTTCTTGGAGAAAGTCCACAACTTCGACTTCACCACTCTCCTCTTTGCAACTGTCCAAGAACAACGTGGTCGGACATCACATCAGGTGCGATGACGTGCTTCGGGCTAAGATCGATCCCCAAACGTTTGGGCATACAGAAAAACATATGGTGCTGGGGCATTCTTTTTCGAAGCGTTCATTGGGCTAGGAAAGGTATGATCCAAATCCAGACCCTTGAGAACAAAAACACGTGGTTTGTAATGGAAACTGGTCATCCAAGGGGCCATTTTCCACTTCCATGATAATTCCAGCCAGTGTAAACATGATCATCGAAGAGTTCATCCTCACAGCCTTGGCACGTCATCACAAGATCCGTTGAGGACCCTTTTCAGGGGTTCTACCTTGCTTATAGCCTTATAGATCTTATAGCCAACTCAACGTTATGCAGATAGACATATAACGGCTTATATAGACATGCAACCATTTATCTTACAATATGACACAAAAACAATCATCAGTTATATATGCACCTATCACATATCATCTCCCATATACGTTCTGGACTCACCTCGGAATCAAACGTCATGGTGCGCGGGAATGGCAGGCCGTGGCCTTAGACCCTGCGTTGCCTTTGGCAGTGCGCCTTCAGCTCATCAACTCCCGCAGGGATTTGCGATCGAAGGCGGAGCCAGCGACGGATGGAGATTTCAGGATTTGGCTTAGATTCAGACGAAAGAACCACCAGATGTAGATTTG